ACACTTACCTCCTTTACAGGAAGGTCTGTTCGGCACGCGATACAATTTGGAATTGATCACGATTGTGTTGACTTTAAAAAACCGATTGAAATATAAATATAATAAAAGGGCTCGACATGTTGGTTATTGCTCCGCTTAAAGTTAAAGTGTCCGGCTTAATCTGTTGTATTCTTTGAATGTTTCTGCAATATCAATAATGATATACCTGAGAAAATGCGTAGCCATCATATAATCATATGATCTTCCAAACCATTAAGTTCCAAGATGAATCTCTCTAGGAAACGGCATTCGGTCAGATTTGAAGAAAGATTTAACTTATGTAGAGACACTTTCTCTCTACTTATTGCCTTTGGCGGGAGAAACTTGTAGGATCGGCTATTTCTTATATTTTTCATTGTTTTTATTCAAAGTGAGGTTGGTAGAGTTTCTCAACAAAGTCACGGAGTCAATCAGACCGGAAATTACACATTAAGCCTTAGAACGCATCTTATTGCAGGGCTAAAGTAGCAGCTCCAAATCCTCGTTCGCAGCCTTAAAGCGTCCTGGTAACCCTGTTATGAAAAGCTCATTAAAAATGACAAGTGTGGGTGGTTAAAGAGTTTTGTAAGAATTGTTTGCCTTTCTTTTAATTGAAAAGACTTCAAACACAAGTCTTCCTTTGTTTGATAGGTCACCGACGAAGGCAATGTGGTGTTGGACAACTTTATTCCTTATCTGGAGACTGGTCACAAGATTGGAACGGTAAGAGCGAGTAAATAAGAGAGATAAGAGGAGATGCAAAAGAAAATACTTCCTTGCAAGGTTGTATCTGCCGCTACCTTTCACTTGAAGGGCCTGATAACAACAGACCGACGGGACTTTTCAGATAGCAGAGGAAATAAGTGTTCATTATCTTGACCCTTTAACTCCCATGAGTGACCAAGACAGAATTTCTCCTTACAATATCAATACAATATCAAGCAGACATGTGATGAGAATAAAGAAAAATATCAATTTGGGTAAAATAAGTTGATCCAATACTACATTCTCTGAACTAACACTATAAGAACTGTATGGTTGACAGTAAGGA